TTTAATAAAGCCCTAAGAGAGTTTATAGAGAAAGATAGTATTGCTATAGGTATTCTAGTTGAGATGAACTTACTAGATCTAAGACCTAACTTTAGGAGCATAATTACCTAGAAGACTGCTAAGGACTACTACGATACCGTAGCAGCTATATACTAACTAATTATTATAGTAGATATCTATAATACCCTAAAGGATTTTAGAACAGTTTCTCTTAAGCAAGCAATATCTAACAGCACCCTTAAGTACTATAAAGACTTCTAAGTATAGGTATAGAAGCACAAAACAGCTACTAAGCAGTTTAAGAGAGTATATAGTATTAGGCCTAAGGATATAAAGATCCTAGATATAATAATTAGGATGCTCTTTATTAATAGTCTTTAGCTTAGTGCCTTAAAGGATACTAAATTAGCTATTAGCTAATACTAGGCTATCTATATGTTTATTATATAGATCTCTCCCTTTTACGAGGCATTCGTATAGATGCGCCGTAAGCAGATGCGCGCCTCGGAATATACTATTAACGATAACACACTCGACAGCATTATTAGCGCGTTACTTAATAAGAATGTAGCTTAACTAAACTAGGCCTAATATAATAGCTTCTTTAGTCTTTAGCGCTAGCAACCGTCGTAATAGCAAGGTAGCAATAGTAGTAACCGTAGCAGTCGTAGTAGCCGCGGAAACAATAATAACGGTCGAGGTAACTCGAACCGTAGCGGTCGTAGTAGAAACGGCTAGAATAGTTAGAATCGCGAGAAGTGCTCGTACTACTAAGGCGCTTACCCTTCCGACCGGTACTATACTAAATACCCTTATTTGAAAGAGGAGGATCGTCTTCGTCGTAAGAAGTAGAAGGCTAAGAAGAAGCTACAATAGGCGTTAACTGCTTAGTAATAGTAGCCGCTATCTAGTTAGAATAGTGCTTAGGGTCTATATACGGCTAATGCTACCCTAGGGGTAATATTAGTCTTAGACAATAATTACGCCTTTACTACGAGCACTATAGTTACTATTAGCGACTAAGTATCTACGGCTCTTACTACTAGCACTCGCACTACCGATTAGGTTGTCGACTTAGGTACTAGTATATATATAGTTAATAACCCTACGCTACTTATTAAATATAAAGGCTACTACATTCCTATCTAGTTTAGAGGTAATACGAAGCACGCTACGATAGTTGGTATAGCTTAGACAGAGGTTATTAATAAGCGTAGTATTAGCAGCATAAAGCTGTCTAATACACTATATATACTAGGTCTGGCAGCTAACCTTCTATCTACTAAGAAGCTTACCGATAAGGGCTATTTCTATCGCAACGATAAGCGTGTCCTATTTACTATAGTAGAAGGCAACGAGGTTACTATCGCTTAGATATACCGTAAGAATAGTCTCCCGTATCTATATATACTAACCTCTAGTCTAGATAGCGAGGTTGTTACGCTTCTATCGAAGAAGGGGGTGCCGACAGGTACTATAGAAGAATAGTATCTACGATATAGCTATATCTATTACCGTAAGTTGCTACAACTAGAAGCTAAGGGCTAGATTGTTATTACTAGCGCTAAGAAGGACTTCCGCAACTGTATTGCCTGCCGAATAGCGATAGCTTATAAGGAATACAGCCGCCTACTGCGCCTTCGGCTATCTACGATCTACTATATTGTCTATATAGACGTAGTTACTATTACTAACCCTAGCCTATTATAGGAGCGCTATTTTATACTGTTTATATACGCCAAATTGGGCTATCGTTATGAATATGCTAGCACGGTTAAGTTAGGAGCTATAGTAGCTATTAAGGACTATCGTATATATGTCCGTATATAGACTACTGACTAGTTACTTAATCCCGATCTACCGCCTCGATAGAGGGGGTAAATACGGCGGAAATCAGCTATTAAATCAGGCTCGAAACGAGGGCATTACACTATAGGTTACTGCTCCTTATTCTTTAACTTAGAATAGTCTTACTAAAGTTAGCAACTACATCGTATATACTACTACTAGGAAGATAATACTATAGGCTAACCTTCCGAAGGCTCTATAGCCCTATATAGTTACTACTGCAATATAGGTCTTAAATATTACTCCTAACACTATAGGCGAGACCCCCTACACTATTATAGCTAAGGAGCTAAACTAGTCTCGACAGTAGCCGAGACTTTAGTACCTTCGAACCTATAGCTGCACTACTATCGCCTACGACTATAGTTTAGCTTATAGAAAGAAGACAGATAGCAGAGGCCTTGTTAGTAAGCTAGTTAGCTACACTAAGGGCTCTATAAACTCTAGAAAGTACATAATCTACCTGCCTAATTAATATAAGGTTATTGCTTCTAAGGACGTTTAGTTTATTAAGTTAGGGGGTAACCTCCTACTTCTAGAGGGTATAATGCTATATACTAATACTAACGACTTATCTAAGAACCAGTTTGTTACCCTTAAGTCCATTATGCCGGCTTTGTTTAATTCTATAAGCAACGAGGCTCCGTCGCCTACTAAGGCTACTAGTATAGTCTAGCGACTTCTAGCATAATAGGAAGAATAGCCTCCGAACGAGCCTACTTAGTAGATGCCTAATTAGGTCGCTAATCCGTTGCTACTCGATAACGATCTTCCTAATGTTTAGCCGCTAGCTTCCGATAATAAAGATAGCTTTTAGTTAGCTAAGGAAGAATAGCTAGCATACAATCCAAACGCTAAGAAGGGCGAGCCTAGCTAGTTACCTAAATTCGAGCGACTAGACGATATCGGTAGTCGTTCTATACGTAAGACACGAAGTAATAAGAGCGCTCGTAAACTATTACGTAGATACCTAGCCGATTATAGTATTAAGCGGTCGACTCGACGTATAATAGCTAATATGCTAATAGCCTATATAAAGGGCTTTATAGCCTCCTACTATATTACTAAGCAGTCCGACAAGCCTAAAGAAACTATCCCTATTCCGAAGAGTTATAAGGAAGCAACTTAGTTGCTATATTAGCTACAATAGAAGGAGGCTTACGAGGCTAAATATAAGTTACTAATTAACAACTATATATAGGTTTATATATCTCGGTTAGAGGTACTAGAAGGTAGGAAGGTTGTCCGCGGCCGATAGGTCTTTACTATTAAGCGAGATGCTAACGGTAATGTAAGCCGATTTAAGGCTCGTTAGGTCGTCCGTAGCTTTATATAGGTTGAAGGCTAGGACTATAACGAGACCTATACGGCTATTGCTAAGCTATCTACTCTTCGGGCCTTATTTAGCCTAATTGCTTACTATAATCTAGAAGCTAAGTAGTACGATATTCTAACTATATTCCTTAACGTACTTATTAGTAATAAGCACAAGATCTACGTTAAACAGCTATACGGCTTTAAGGACCGTAGTAGCAAGGGCATGGTTTGTCTATTGCTAAAGGCTCTATATAGTCTAAAGCAGTCGCCGATGCTATAGTATAAAGAGCTTCGGAAATACTTAAAGAGCCTAGACTTTATTCTAATAATTTCCGACGTCTATATATTTAAACACGTTATTAGCGGCTCGATTATCGTTATCTGCGTCGATAATATAATTATTATCGCCTATAGCCTATTAGCACTAGAAGCCGTTACTTAGTTACTAAAGGACCGCTTTAATATACGAGAACTTAGTGATCTTTATTACTATCTCGGCATGCGTATTATTCGCGATCGTAACAAGCGCACTATCTACGTCGTTTAGGATGCCTATTTAAATAGGCTCTACGAGAAGTATAGTATACGTAGTCGCATTGCTCCGGCTATACCTATAGCACTACGCTATATTAAGGCGTCTATTTAACGCGTACCTAAGGGCTATATAGCTAGTGCTGCCTTTAAGACTTAGTATTAAGAGGGTGTTAGCGAGGCGCTATAGCTAGCTATAATTACTCGACCTAATGCCTACTATACTACCGGCCTGTTATTACGATTTATCTCTAACCCGACTAAAGAGTACTATACCGCGCTTCTTTAGCTAATTAAGTACCTAGTAGGCACTCTTAGCCGTAGTATACGCTTCTAAGGCAGTTAAACCGACGATCTCAACTTTACTAGATACTATAACGCCTTATAGGCTAATAATCTAGTTACCCTCCGCTCTATAGGCGGCTTCCACTTTACTATCGTAGGCGGACCTCTATTATATAAGTCCGGCCGCTAGACACTTGTTACACTATCGTTAACTAAAGCTAAGTATGTCTAGCTTACTATAGGGGCTAAGGAAGTAGTTGTCTTAGCTCGCTTATTAAAGGAAATTAGCTATAAGGGCTATATTCTTCTAGTTACGCTCTACGAGGACAATTAGTCCGCTATTGCTATTACTAGGTCGACTAGTATCGATAGCCGTATAAAGTATATAGATGCTCGTATTTACTACATTCGCGAGAAGATTACTAATAGTACTATTGTCGTCTAATAGGTTAGTATATACAATTAGATTACCGATAGCTTTACTAAGCCGCTTAACAAGATTAAGTACGGCCGCTTTATTAAACAACTAAACCTAGTAGATTGTAAGGCCGCTATTGAGAACGCTATAAAGCTAGCTGCTAAGTACTAATTGCTTTATATCTAAGAAGGGCCCCCTATTTGCTTTATACAGATACAGTAGCCCGCTAGCTGCTGTATGCTATAGCCTAGAACGGTCTAATTAGTTCGCTTGTTTGATTACCTAATACCCTCCTATTTGCTTTGCTAACTAAATGGCTAATTGTTTGTTTTATTCTATAGCGATATATACGTACTAAGGGGGTAATTTAGAGTGTGTGTCTAGGGTTAGGGTCTATTACGTGCCTAATGCCTAAGGCTACAACTGCTACACCTTATCTTAGGACTTCTATATAGCTTAGTCCTTTCTCCTAATACATTAGTTACATTAAGTGAATACACCTACTAGGAACAATAGGCGTTTAATAAACGCACGCGAGTAGGCAAGAAGTACTACGGGTAGATTAGGCCCACCCTACGAGATTAGGAATATATCTATAGAGATGATTACTAGAGATGCGGAACCCAACACCACATTATCTTTAACTAACACAGCTACTCAGTCGATGAATCAGAATGGTAGTTAGAACGGTACTTGGAATTTCAATGGAATAGATGCCGATAACACTCCGTCCGGAACTGAACATGTTCCTGCGGCAAACAATACTCAAAATGGTGAAGGTGGAAGTGCGATCATTCGCCCGATAGATCAAGGTGACAACCTCAACACTGGAGCGGTCACTAGGACAGGGGCACAACTGGGACATGCACCGGTCACAGAGCCAGTTGAACGACATATATCGAACGACCAAAGCAGTCCTCCCCATGGCGTATCCAGAGCTGACCCTCATGCAGAAGCACAGTCCCATGGAAACATAAGCACGCAATCACACGGGAATCCTCAGACTGAGCAAAGTGTCCCGGATACTGAGCAAAATATGCCGACCCCACCCGTTGCTGGACAAGTCGGTACTTCCGAAGGTAACTCCGCAGAAGCACAGTCCAATGGAAATATGAGCGCGCAATCACACGGGAATCCTCAGACTGAGCAGAATGTTCCGGGTACTGAGCAAAGCACGTCGACTCCACCCGCTGCTGGACAAGTCGGTACTTCCCAAGGCAACTCTACAGCTGAATCCAATGTAGATGTTCAGTCAAATGCAGGCGCACAAGCAAATGGAGAAACGGACCATGATATGTCTAATACATCTGACCAACAAGGTGGTATATCTGAAAGCTCTACAGCTGATGCTAATGCTGAGACACAAGGCCATGGAAGTGGTCCACCTGGCCATGCAGAAGGAGAGCCTATGGAAGGCGTCCAGTATTCGAACCCTTCGTCTGACTCGTTCGAAGGCGCACTTTCATCGGATGGCGAATCATATCTGGCAACAGTGCTGGGGAGCGGACCCTGGACACTGCATCCTAACTATACCCATAATTCCGATAATATCTGGGAGCATGCCCATCTCGCGCTACTCAAGCTCTCAAAAGACCCCGTAAATGAGAACCTCGCCAGCTTGGTGTCCGCATGGGCAGATGCAGCAACGAAAGTGTTACCTGAGGCAGTAGAACAATGTCCTTTCGATCTTAGGTTGCATCGAGAAGTATTCGCACGTGTTCAAGAACTCTGTCAAGCGAGTCATGCTGATGATTCTATACAAGAGCAGTTAAAGGCACAAGCAGATATACTGAGACAGCATGCATTGAGACTTAATATGAAGGAGAGCCTTGATTGGACATTCGCTATAGAGGAACGGAGAGGCCTCGCCACTAAGACTCCAGACAGCGAAGGCTATTCTCGTCTTGCCCCCTCGAATACTCTTCCCTTTCTTGAGTCAAATAGTCGCGTGTACTTTACCGATCGACGAGGAAGAGACAGGGGCGAGTATGCGGATATTATAGCTTGGGGAAAGCAAGGATATGGACACCAATTCGTGATTAACTTCCGCCGCCAGGCGAGTAATCACTATATGATCATAAAAGCCAGTTACTTTGGGACAGGTACCTTCAACAAATTTCTCGATTTCAACGCAGTCGCGGAGTCGAAGATCGCAGAGCTGGAAGTCACTCCTCGGTCGAAACTGCGACGTGATAATTACAAAGATCTTATAATCAAGGCCGTGGCGTCGATCTACCAAGAGGCTTCCGCAAGGGCACGTGTTGAATCAAGACCACGCGCTCCGACGGCTCTTGTGTGGGCAACGTACGGCGACATGAATCCAAGGCCTTCCTACATCTTCCGAATGTCAGATTGTTGAAAGGTGATTGGTATAAGCTTGTAAACTTGATTGATTGAAGGAAGAACTATCTAGAAAGGAGTGTAGAGTCTTATATAGGAAAGGATTAGTCAGAGGGTGAATAAGCAATGACCTTGCTTTCAACACAGATCTGGTGGCAATGTATGAGACGCGCTACGAAGTCAAAGCCGCTATTGATTCCTGGAGGAAGCAAGCCGGTCAGGAGGATCGTGAAGGCTTCAGATGGTATTCTTTATCACGGGAGAATACTCCTGCCGAGTCTCGCGAGGCGTCACAGCAGGCAGAAACAGATGTGAGTCGAGATTCTACAGCTGAGCCGGAAGATACCTCAAGCAACGTGTCTACGGTTCGAGCGGAGAACAATGCGGCCGATGGCGTTAGTCCAACGCCAGCCCAAGCAAGAGAAAGTAATGCCAGTCGAGCTTCTACAGTTCAGCCGGAAGGTACCCAAAGCAACGGGTCTACGGTTCGAGCGGAGAACAATGCAACCGATGGCGTTAGCCTAGCGCCAGCCCAAACAAGATCAAGGCCTCGTCAAGCTCCTTCTCAAGCAAGTGGAGGAAATACTGTACTCGTCGAGCTCCTGCTCAAGCACGTGGAGGAAATACTCGAGCTCCTGCTCAAGCAAGGGAAGGCAATACACGTCGAGCTCCTGCCCAAGCAACAGGGGAAAGGAGTGCCAGTGGAGCTCCTGCAGCTCAGCTAGAAGGTACTGCAAGCAATGTGTCAACAGGTCAACCGGCGAATAACACAATCGGGGCCGAGAGAACCGTTCTTGTCTCTGAGGTCCGAATAATACAGATGCTGGAAAATCTGGAAGGGTTCTCGCGAGAGACGGCCAGGCGACTAGCGGCTCTTGAGCAACGTAACACGGATGGTGCTCGAGCACCTGTAGAAGGTTGAATCTGATCCCCTTCACATCATCTCAGATTACTAACCTATGCAGAATAGAAAGCGACGACATGTGCCAAATCTGCTATTACAATTTCAATGATTCCGATCGCAAACGTGAGCGGTTTCCCTGCGGTCACGAGTGTTGTAAAAGTTGTCGAGATAATATGGAATGGACTAGACTTCCATGTCACATTTGCAGAAGGGATCTTCAGACCGGAGAAATGCAACGGATTGAGGTATAGGAAGAATTGACTCCATTCGATTTGGAGCAGATTATAGAAAGTACGGTGGTTTTTTAGTGTCTAGTGTGCAACTATGTATTTTTAGTATTAGAACGGTAGCGCCTTCCTTAGTATAACGTAGATAGATATCGCATTGTATACGTATTTTAATCCGCTTAAGGTACTTAAACTAAAGATTACCTAAACCTAAAAAGTACTATACTCGATCGCGAGGGTAGTTACAACCTATAAACTAAGGGTATATCGTTAGCGTTTTATAAATCTAATATAATTGTTTACGTAGAGACTACGACTTCCGTAAAGCAAAAGTAAGCCGTAGGCCTACTTTAGGATACGCGATTTCATTTCGAGACTTCTATTAAATAACGACTTTAATATTTCGAATACTAACCATTCCTAGCTATTCTAAGCTATATAACACTATCCTTATACGTACAATACGATCACTACATCTCTAGCTATAGCGTCTAACAAAATTAATATAACCGAATTTCTAAATACTAGTATTCTAGGCGAACCTCTATAACTCGATATAATAGGCTATATCGTAAGTAAGAGTAGACTAAGTAGTATAAAGACAATCGCTAACGTGTACAAATTAGCTTTAAGAGTACGGATTTCCTTTAACTATAGTTTAGTAGGAATTTATAGAAAAGGAAGCGGGTATATATATTAAGCTAAGAGATAGTAAAGAGGAGACGATAAAACTAATTTCGCGTCGGGACAATTATATTAATATACTACTAGTTCAGAGTCGGTATGTATAATATATTTTAAGTCCTAGGAACGGAGCTAACTTAGAAAGTAGCGAGGAGAATAAGGAGAAGGAGTATATATACTATAGAGGAACTCCTATCCTAGGTACTTATAAGCGACTAGTTAAAAAGCGAGGTCCTTTCCTAGTAAGTTACTATAGAGAGCTAGGAACATCTATATAATAAGTAATACTAACTCTAGGAAATAGAAATATATATCTTAGGACTTCTATATAGGCAGAGCATATAGGAACTACGTCTAGAATAGTAAGAAGCCTACCTACGAATAGTATAAGGTAAAGAACGACGAATTTAAGACTATTAGGGAGGGGGTAGATATACAATTCGTACCGAAGACGCCGCTAAAGATAGATAGTCGAAAGAAGAAGGGTAGTAAGAAAGGTTAGGAGTCGAAGGGTAGGAGGTAGGACTAATAAAAAAGTTATAATTTTAGGGAGTAAGGGTAGGGACATTATAAATCTATATCTATATAATAGTTAAAACTTAAAGAAAACTCCCCTACAAATCGGAACTCTTTAGTTCGCTTAGAATAACATTTACTTTATTGTCCTCTAAAATAAGCTATCCCTAGCTTTCTAAGATCTAGTAAGAAAATCGAGATCTATAATCTTAAACATAGTCTTAACATTACTACCTTATATAATACGATTTTATTTATAAAATCGAAGAGGCAACTACGATTAGGGACGCCTTCCTTCCCTACTATTTTAGATATTTACTTCTAGAAGGTATCTTCCTAAACCGGAAACTAGTTATACTTACATCTTAATAGGGAAAGTACGATCTTTAAGGATTACTTTCTAAGCTCGAAGGCCGCGCCTTCCTTTATATAGAAGTAAAGCAATGTCGCGTACTATTTTAAGGCGCGAAAATTTATTACTACACTTTATAATAATATCTACCTTAACATTCCGAATACTATCGATTCTTAAGGCTTCCTAGCTTTATTATACCTCCTCTATACGTACAATACCTCGTCTATATACCGCGCTATTATAGCTAAGAACCTAATCGGATACAACAAAATTACTAGTTAGAATAATTAGATAGAGGAGTATATCGATATTAGGGCGAAGAACTCGGTAAGATAGAGAAGAGTAGCGCAAAGATAATTACTAACGTGTATAATTCAGCTATAAGAAGTAGGATTTATAGTAACGCCTAAGTAGTAGAAGATAATAGACAAAAAGGTCGGCGCGCTTATTAAGCTAACTCTTAGTAAGGGGAGGATAAGAGATCTAGTTTTAGACCGGAAGTTAAAGATCGATACGATAATTATTTAGAGCCGGTATATATAATGTCTTTTAAGTCCTAGGAGCTAAGCTAACTCCGGAAAAATAGTAGAGGATTAGCGGAGGAGGAAGGGATAGATTAGAGTACTATAGTCTACGAGAACTATATAAAAGAGAAGGGACCCTTTAAGGTAAGTTACTTTAAAGAGCTAGGAATACATATATAATAAGTAATACTAACTTTAGGAATAGGAATGTAGATACTAGAAGAAGAATATATATAATATATACGGGAACTGTAAGTAGTATAACCGTACATCTAAATATAGCCTTAGCGTCTAGAATTAGCCGAAAAACGAGGAACTAATAATTAATAGAGGTGTACAATAGGGTGCGACTAATTCGAACGGGCAGCCGATCGAGAAGAGTCGAAGTAGTCGACCTCTAAGGCGTCGTATAGATTAGGGAATAATCTATCTAAAGGATGTCTAGCTTAGAGAGGTAGTAAGAGGACATTATAAATCTATATATATACAATACCTAAGCTTTAAAGAAAAGGTATTATAAATTTAAGAACTCTAGAATTCCTTTATATAGATTGTTCCTCCCTTCTACTAATAAAAATATCTAATATACATTTCTCTCCTATAAATCTAGGATCTATAATGCGATTTCTCTCTATGTTTTCGTTTTCCCTATATATATAATAGCTATAAGACTTAAAATGTTAGTCCTAGGCTGCCTATTATCTATTATTAAAATCTAACCCGACTACGAATTTTTAATTATTCGGATCTCTTATCTCTCGGGGTTTAAAGATGTTATAACGAAGTTAGTACGTATAATGTGTTCTCCTTCAACCCTAAGTAAGAGAAGTTCGTATCGTGTCGTATAACCCTTAGAGAGCTAGCCCTAACTACTAGCCGAGGCTAGCTAAAAGTCTACTAGGCGCAATTTTATAGTATACTTAATTGCATTCTCTATACTATTCCTTCTACTTTTCCTTACTTTGCTACTATTATATACGCGTTCTATTATGCCTCGCAAGCCTATAGTGCCCCTTTACATCTACGATAAGATCCTAGAACTCTAGAACTCGAAAGCTACGATCGACGACATTAAGGCATTCTACTAAACCTACGACTACTCTCCGAGTACTCGCACCCTCCGTACAATTATCTCTTAAGGCAATGCCGTTCCTCGACTACGCTTAAATCTATAGTAGCCCTTTATAGATAATCCGAATTTGCGCGTACGCATTATCGAGCTCTTTAATCTAGAGGCACTTCCTAATAATCTTATCCTTATATAATTAAAAAAGGAGGGGTAGGATATAAGTTTAAAAACCTTTATATAGACGCGGAAAGCACTTAGCTATACGCGTAGGCTTAAAGAAGAAGACTTTTAGTAGAATAAGGATGTGTTTCGCGAGGTTGTCCGTAAAGAGATAGATCGAGTACGAATCGATAAGTATAGTCGTAAGATGCTATAAATACACTTCCGTATAAATAAAAGGCTTTAGCTTTTGCTTAGAAAGTAAGTCGTATCTCTAATATATAAGATAGAAACCTATCTAATATTAATAAACTTAAATAGGAAGAGACTCTACGATCTTACGCGTAAAATATATCCCGCGGGCCCGTATAATCGATTAAATCTCTTCTCGCGTCGTCGTAGTATCTATATAACCCCTAGACCCGACTTTATATAGTTAATAGATGCGTACTATAAACTAGAGGAATACGGCTTTTAGATCTATACTACTATCGACGCCGATACCCGCTATATTCTCTAGCTCTATCTTAGCCCCTCCGCGCGTATAATAGTCTCTATCCTTTCTTAATACGTTAAAGCGGCTAGACACTATCGCCGGACTCCTAAGCTTATTCGTACCGATAAAGGGAAGGAAACTCTTCTTCTTACTTACGCTTACTACCGTTATACATAGCGCGTCCGCGGGTATAATATACCTTTTTATAGGACGTATATCTTTAGTACGAGTATAAAGAATATTTGGATAGAATCGTAGTAGGGTCGGATAACGGAGAAATATATAAAACAATAGTATATAAGTTGAGGCTTTAAGAGAAGGAGATTCCTATCCGATTGTATAGGTTTGTACTAACTACTCTAGGAATTCTTTACGAAGCTGAAAAAAACTAGCTAGTTTAGTAAGTATGGAAAGTTAGACCGTATAGCAATAAAGTATATCTATACTCTAATACTTCGGGATAGTCTAAGGTCCTTTATATATACGTAGAATTACTATTATATTCGGAAATAGCACAATCGGCTATTAGTTTATACTAGTTAGCCGCATTCCCGGTATAATTATGCCGAGGAACTTCCTTAGCCGAGACTAAGTGTTAGATATCCTATCGACGACGAATTTCTTACCGAGATCGAAGTAGTATATAGTTAGTAGGGTAGGTTGAAATTGTATACGTTATAAAAGCTCTAAAGTACTAATAATGCTATAGATATCGATAAGTATATACTACCGTCTATGCTAGATCTTTATTCGGAAATTCTATAGTCTAAGGGCTTTCTATCTAGACGACTAAAGCGAGACGACTTTGTATAGGAGGTCGGACTATAGGAAGACTAAATCGCCTACGAAAATCTTGTTATAGCTCTTCGAGCGGTACTAGAAGATTAGCTTAAAGAAATAGCAATTCTACGTAGGGGTGCGGCTTAGTTAGGCTTTAGGCCTAACTCGGCAACTATTATATAGACGTTCCGAGAGGCCTACGAAGACAATAAAGAGCGGTTAGAGCTAGATTAGGCGGTAGCTAAGCAACTAGGCCAAAATAGCCTATAGATAGATAATTTTGCCGAGTCCGATTTAGAGGTCTCTAACTATAGCCTTAAATAGGTCGAGGTGAATAATAAATAGCTTATATATGTATATAATAGTCTCTCGTCGTTACTCGTTAGCTTAAAGACTATTTAAGCTACGCTCGCCCTAGTAGACCTCCCGCTAGCTCGTATA